CAGGGGGGAGATGCCTACGAGAGCCGCTTTCTTCTCCGCTTTGAGGGCTGCCAGCTTGGCCTCACGCTCCTCCTGGCTCAGGACTCGAGCTGCCGCCTGGATGCGCTGGAAATCCTCCCTCCCGATGATGAGGGAGGCTGCTGGGTTCTCTGCAGGGATGCTGGGGGCATGGGGACACAGTGAGCAGCCCGGAGTCCCTGGCCATGGGACCTGCCCGGGCTGCCCACACCAGGAGCAGCTCTGGGAGCAGGAGTCACCCGAGAGCAATTTGGGAAGCACCCGGGCTGTGGGGACCCGACCCTGCCACTCAGGGGGAGGAAGCAACAGAAAGTGCAGGGAAAGTGGCACCGGGGCAGGAGGATGATGCACTGGGACAGGATGCTCGGTGGGGTGGCCGGGGCCTCTCGGGAAAACCCCAAAACATGCAGCAGGGGCCTAGTCAGCCCCCATTACAAAAAAATGCTGGAAGGATTTCAGCCTGGCTTGACTTTCCCAGCGCTCTTTTGAGAAGATTTTGACCTCTGCCCTCAGCCCTTTTCCAGAGGCTCATCCCCGCTCCCAGGCTGGCTGTCACTGCTCCTGCTGTGCTGAATCAAAACCTCCATCCTGTGTGGACAGATTCTGGGGAGCAGGAGCCACCTTTTCACTCTGTTTAGTAACACTGAGCCTCAGCTTCGGCTCTGCTTGCCTGGGAAATCCAGAGGAAACGTGGCGCTGCCCAAACCCCAGCACCCTCCCCCCTTGCAGGTGTCCCTCCAGCCGTCACCCCGGCTCTGCAGAGCCACCAGCTCTGCCCGTGACTCATGCTGTGGTTTAGAGGAAACCACGGAAGCTCTCGGTGCCCCCATTTCCCCACTGGTAAAAATGTGGATAATAACACGGGGCTGTTTTCCAGGGGAGTTGTAAGGAGTTAATTACTCCCCGTATTACTCAGGTACCATGGTGACGCGTGTGGCGCAGGAGGTGCATTAACCAAAGGCACAGGGCACTTTGAAGATGTTCGGGACTAAAAATTTACTCATTATTATTGTGTGTCACCTTTCATCCACCCTGGTGAATATGAACAGATACCTGCATAATGAACCTCCGAGAGCTGCATCACAGCATCGGATTCCAGGACGCTTTAGACAATGGCTAATGGTCACAACGGCACTAATAAATGTAATGACACGGTGCTTTGGCTGTCCCCGTGTTTGGGTGACCGGCCTTGGGATGTCTAGGGCCTGATTTTCAGGAATTAAAACAGCACAAACAGTTTCCACCAGCTTCAGCCCGAGCTGCGGCCACGTGGCGCATCTGGCAGCCCGCAGCGGGGTCCCCAAGAGGAGGAGGAGGGTTCAGAATGGGCTGCCAGCCTCCAGAGCCCCATCCAGCACCTCTGTGCCACCTCACCCTCCACGAAACCCACACCTGAGCCCTCCACGGGCAGGTGCCACGTTTTAGGGGGTGTAGGAGCATGAGACCAAAGAGGTTCCAAACAGGAAGTGAAGATGAACCTCGTGCCAAACGACAACTACCAGGAAAATTTAGGGAGGTCAAAATGAGGCTAAATGGGAGCAGGCTGGGATAATGGCTCTATTCTTATGTGCTGCGGGCTTTTAACGAGGTGTAGTAATTAGGGCCGGGGTTCTTACAGTTCAGCCTTGCTTATAAAACACCTCTGTGGAGAAACACAGGGCTCCTGGGGTGCAGGGGCTCCCCGGCATTTCTCACTGGGGGCTTTTCGGTGCTGAGGGAGCATTTGGGGTGCTGGGGAGCAGGTCCCACCCTGGGGGGGCTGCTCAGCCCAGAAGGAGTTTTTTTGCTGAGAAGGTTTTTACGTGGCTGTTTCCTGGTTCTTAGGTTCCCATGGCAAACGGTGGGGGAAGCTCCAGGCCCCGGCAGACACACGGGGGTCCCAAAGCTCCTCGGAGCTGCCACCTGGGCTCAGACTCACACGAGGTCACGGATGACATCCTTGGTGATGACACGGGTGGTCTCAGGCTTGTGCCCTCCGGTGGGCGACCCTTTGGGGGCAGTTTGTGCATCCTGAAGGATCACGACAGGGCTCTCAGAGCGCGGGTGCTGCGGGCTCTGCAAGAAAGGACAGCAGTGACCCTGGCAGCTCTGCCAGCAGCCTGTGCCCAGCTCCCTGCACCCAGCTCCTGGGCACGGAGGTGTCCTGGGCACAAGAGCCTGCAGGTTCTCCTGAGCCCCACCGAGACCCAGGGCATGGGAAGGGTGTTTTTTTTTTTCTGCCTCGGCAGCCCCAGCTGTGAAGCCCTGATGAGGACAAGGGGAGAACCAAAAGTCCCCCGAGAGGACTGGTTTTACAATAAAAATCTGGGTGTGAGTCTCTCACCCAGAGCTGAGGTAAACAGTGAGCTGCTCGCTCAGGGCAAGACCTCACCAACACTCAAGCATCATCTCGGCTACCTTGAGCTGATGGCAGCTGGCCCCAGCCCCACTCTGAGCCCCCTGGACTCCAGAAAAACTGAGTGGAAACCGACCCAGACTGACCCAAACTCGCTGGGAGCTGGGAAGAGTGACAGCTGAGGTCTGGCCGCGCAGGGTAATCAACCGGCAGACAGCACTGGGCAGAAACCAGTCCTCCCAGTACGGCCTGAACTGGTGCCTGAGCCTTTGCTCGAACCGAGGCTGCCACCTAGTGAAGCATCACCGGGCTGTGGGGTGATGGGGGGGGACCCCGCTCCGCACCCCCGGGGCAGGGTGGGCGCTGGGTGCCCCAGGAGGGGTGGGAGCAGCCGGGGGACGGCCCGAACTCGGGTGGAGCCACCCCACGGGAACCTGCAGGGGCTGTGACGGGCAGGAACCGGCGTCCCCCGCACTCAGGGGTGCAGCCAGGCTCGGATCATGCCCCTTCCCATGGGCTGGGGCATTTGGGAGCAGGTCTCCAGCTGGGAGAACCGACCCAGCAGGGTGAGTTCAGCTTCCTGAGCCCAACCACGGCACGGGCGTCACCACGAAATCCTCACCCAGGGAAGGGAACCTCAAGAGCTAATCTAAGGTACACACAGACGTGTGGTTTCCCGGGGACCTCTGTTATTTCCCAGTTCAGCTTCACAATCCTAAGTGACTCCAGGAACAAATCCCACAGCTGGCTGGGCGCTGAGCAGGTCCCTGGGAACCTGCTGCTGGCGATATTTCCATTTCCCAGGTCTGCAGCATTCCCATTTTCCGGGTCTGACCCAACCACGGGCTCTCCTGCAGCCCAGCGTGGCAGAGACTGGCACAGCGTCCCAGCCACCGTGGCCCCGAGTGTGAGCTGTTGAATTAAAGGGTTTGGCACTGAAACACCCGTGCAAACAAAGATAATGGTGTTATTCACTGCAGCCAGCCCGCATGTTGTCCCTGCAGCCAGCAGAACTCCTTGGACTAGACCTGGATTAATCCCAGGGAATTCAGCTAATACCCATTCGAGTATTGTGACTTTTTTTTATCTAACTGCCTCGAAGGCCTCTGAGATAACAGCTCCTACACCTGCCTGGGGCTCCCCAGCTCACAGGGTGGCTGAGGGACACAGGCCTGGAGCAGGTCGCTGGCTGGGAGCTCCCAGCCTCCTGCCCTGTGAGGCAAATCCCCCGTGCAGCCTCCAGTTGGGAGCGGAGGTAATCGCCATTACACGCTTCCTTCCTCTCCTCTGAGAAGCCAAAGGGTTTTGGCAAGTCTCTTCAGACAGATTTGTTTCAAGCGATAAGACCCAGGAGAGGAAATTACAGCCACAAACACCTCTCCTCCTAGGGAGGGACAAGTGCCCCGAGCCTGGCACGGTCCCCTCGGACCCCACGGCGGCAGCAGAGACACCTCCAAGGCTTTATCAGCCAAAGAGGAGGCGAGTGGGAGATGGGCCAAACTCCAGCCTGCCCCTTGTACCTCGATCTGTGTCAAAGACGACACGGAGGGTGGGGAGAGCCATAAACCTGAACTGCTGTGGGCAGAGTCAGAAAAGGAGGTGGGGGAAGCAGCAGTGGGCAGAGAACATCCAGAACATCTCCCTGGCCTGGAAAATGCCACCAGCCACCTCGGTGACAGCAGCTGGGGCTCTCCTGTGGAGCCAGGGACGGCCGAGGGACGAGCACGGAGGAAACGAGGCCTTTCCTTGCAAGAGCAGAGAGGAAGGAGCTGAGCTCTCACTCTCCATGCAGATCCTCTCAACGGCCGGGGCACCCAGCCAGCGGTCAGAGACCTGCTGCAATTCTGCCTCGTCTCCACGGGGACTGATTTCGTAGCTCCCTGATGAAAGTCTCAAGTATGTTGGCAACGAGTTGCTCCGGAAGCTTCCAGCCCCTGCTCCAAGGACTGTCCATATATCCCCCACGAGATAACTGTACAGACCCGGTAACGTCGGCACCACGCCTTCAACAGGGTGTCACCTCCTGAGCCTCCTTTGTATCACTAATTAACTAATTACCCATTGAAAAGTGAAAGCTGAGGCATCAAGGACAGGGACACAGGCGGGACGTGGTCTGGTGGCCTTGGCCCGCTCCCAGGAGCCCACAGGGGGGATTTTGTGCCCTCGCAAGAGGAACCGAGCGTTGTGCTCCTGGGAACGAATCGGGCAGGGGTGGTCGGCGCGGGGCGGGCTGGCGAGGGCTGCGGCAGCGCCCGCGGGGTTTGGAAAACCGGGAGCGCGGAGGCAGGAAGG